CCCGGAAGGACGCCTGGCGGCTGCATTCAATATGGTCAAGGAGGGCATTGATGCACTTATGGTCTGTGGCGGAGACGGATCTTTGACCGGCGCAGACGTATTCAGAGCTGAATGGCCCAATTAGTGGCTACCCTACGATCTCAGGGTGAGTATACGATCGTGCTGTATCCCTTTCTACCGACTGATTGGAGCGGCCAGGGAAAATTAGCGAAGCTCAGGCAAACGCTCACGCTCATCTCAAAATCGTCGGTCTCGTTGGATCCATTGATAACGACATGTCCATGACGGATTTGACTATCGGCGCTGTAACGGCTCTGCATCGCATCTGTGAAGCTATCGACAATATCAACTCGACCGCGGCAAGTCACTCCCGCGCTTTCGTACTGGAAGTCATGGGCAGACACTGCGGATGGCTCGCTTTGCTTGCTGGTGTAGCGTGAGTGATAAGACTTCTATTCTGGAAAGGTGTGCTGAAGCGGAAGAAGCGGCGGGGCAGATTTCCTGTTCATCCCCGAACGGCCTCCGACGTCTCAGCCCTGGGAGGACGAGATGTGTGCTGCTATACAGAAGGTATCTGATGCACGACAAAGGTTCGTACGATTGACTGAAGCAAGCCAATAGCACCGTGAAGTCGGCAAGCGGAAGACCCTTGTGATTGTCGCCGAGGGTGCGCACGATCTAGACTTGAAGCCGATCAAGGCAGAATACGTGAAGGACATCCTCTCGGAGCGATTGGGTCTGGATACTCGAGTGACCACACTTGGTCACACCCAACGTGGTGGTCGCCCCTGCGCATTGACCGAATTCTCGTATGTCTTTGACTATTCTTCCGCATACATCTGGCTAACATCCTTTCAGCCAACTTTACAAGGGATGAAGGCGGTAGATGCGTTAATGGAAGCGACTCCTGATACACCTTCTTACATGATTGGCATTCAAGAAAACAAGATTACGACCGTTCCTCTGATGGAGGCTGTAGCCATGGTTTGCGCGATTTGCAGTGTCATGCATCGAGGCTGAATGAAATCCAGACCAAGGCCGTCTCGTCTGCCATCGAGAGAAAAGACTTCCAGGAAGCGATGAAGCTGCGCGACCCGGAATTCAGAGAAAGTCTGGAAGGATTCATCTTGACATCGACGCTGACTAGAAGTGAAGTTACGCCGGAGAGCAAGGTTGGCACTCACTTTAAAACGTGCTCAATCGCGCTGACCGATTTACCAGAAGATGCGAGTTGCAATCATGCAGTAAGTATGATTGACTATTGAGATGGAACTGAGCTGACATGGAAACCTAGTATGGGCGCTCCTGCCGGTGGAATGAACGCAGCTACTCGCGCAGCAGTCCGTTACTGTTTGCATCAAGGTCACACCCCACTCGCTATCCATAACGGCTTCAAGGGCTGCTGGACGACTATCTCGGCGAACTTTCGTGGCTCGGTGTAGATTCTTGGTCGGCGCGTGGCGGCTCTGAGCTGGGAACAAACAGAACACTTCCGTCTGTGGATCTGGGCGCAGTTGCCGCCAAATTCCAGCAGCATTCCTTCGATGCGTTGATGATGATCGGTGGATTTGAGGCATTCAGCTCGTTGCAGATCCTGGAGGAAGCACGAAAGCACTATCCGGCATTCCAAATTCCGATGGTCCATCTGCCTGCCACTCTAAGCAACAATGTGCCGATGACTGAGCACAGTCTCGGCTCTGATACAAGTCTGAATGCGCTGGTCGACGCCTGTGATGCCATCAAACAGAGTGCCAGTGCCAGCCGGAACCGCGTATTCGTGGTGGAGACTCAGGGCGGAAAGTGTGGATATCTTGCGACCATGGGGGCTCTGGCTGTCGGCGCCTGTCTTGTCTACACACCGGAAGATGGGATGAACCTGGACATGCTCAAGCGCGATGTTCGCTTCCTCAAGGCGCGTTACAAGCTGGACGCGAAGGGCAAGGCTGAGGGTCGATTGGTCATCAGGTACGTGGCTCTCGTCCAGGCCATTCCTTGATTCGCGCTCAATGGTGCTCAGGAGCGAAGCATCTTCCTCGGTGTACACGACGGAGGTCATCACCCAGATGTTCAAAGAGGAGGGTAGCCCTCTGTTCGATTCTCGCTCTGCATCGCTGGGCCATACCCTCCAAGGTGGTACTCCATCACCCATGGATCGCGCTCGAGCAGTGCGGCTCTCGCTGAAATGCATGGCTTTCCTGGAAAGGCATCACGAGCTACTCAGCCAGCAACCGGCGAAATCGCGGTCAGCAGGCCCGGATTCTGCCGCAGTGATCACTATCCAGTCAAGCTCAGTCAAGTGGGTTCCCGTGCGTGACATGGTCGAACATGCGGATATGAAGAATCGCCGTGGGAAAAACCCCTGGTGGCACGGTGTCCGGGATCTGGTCGAAATGCTCGTCGCACGACCGCAATTGGCAGGTTTGCGCGCGGGTGACCTAGAGGCGCTTTAGAGACGAAACGAATCGGTATGTAGGATAACCAGAATCTGTAAACAGTAGAGTTTCAAGAACGTTGAGGGCACGTGTAGTTTGTTGTATCATTTCGATTGTGTCACATGACTCGCGATCCTCCCTCCTGTCAACCGCCATGACCAGTGCTCGACCACCCCTGCCTTTGCGCAACGCCAACAGCCTGCGTATGTCTGTGTAGTTCTGCGACGGACAAATGATTGATTTCCGTCGGCAGTCGAGAATGCGGTACTACCGACCGTGAAATACCAAATATTAACTTGCCAGGGTAGCGATATCCTTGTGCGTGGCATCCTGGCTCATCCATCTATCTCTAATCTATCCGCTCAGGTCGGCAGACTTAAAGTAGAGACACCAACGGTACGTCGGTATTCTCGCACCCTCGCGCTGCCTGTATTCAACCACCCTTCTAGCCCGTTGGACACGCCTTCATCCTCCGACGTTTCGACACCGATGCCATTTCCCTCACGACCATGTTTCGCGCGGCATTCCCGAGTGCGGGCGAGGAGGCTGAGAAACGCGAGGTTCAATGGGTTAAGGACACGTACGATCTGACTGGGAACAACGGGACCTCCAAGGACCTCGCCATCACTCGCCTCGCTGGAACCTGGGTCAGCCCGTCGATTGCAGTCGAGATCTCGGAGGCGTATCAGCTACGCGATCTCATCCGGGTCGTCGTTGAAGCCAAACCGGACCCAAAGGCCACGTATCGCCGGTCTGGCAAGAAGGAAGCACCCCCACCAGTGCCACTTGCCAGCGCCGCGCGAACGTTACCCTCTCCGACATCCCCGACGTCCGAGAAACCAGCAAAGCGAAGAAAAGAGTCGTCGCCTGCCCCGCCAGCCGCCCCGCCCGCCGTCACGCCTCGGCGTTCGACCCGCACGAAGAGTCCGAAACCGATGACAGCGCCCATGCCCTCGTTCACATCGGTCACCCGTTCGGCCAAGAAGTCTTCACGCCGAGAAGAAACAGACCTCACGGTCAAGTCTGACGAGACGGTGGTTGTAGATGAGGAGGGTGATGCGCTGGCTCAGTCGGTTGGGAACGAACTCCACGCCCAGGATATAGCAGAGCAGAGAGACATGATTGCTGAACTAAAAGCTCAGAGAGACAAAGCGGCTGCATTGGCTGCTGCGACCGCCGCCGATGAAGAGGACGGAGATCAGGACATGGCCGACGAACCCCCCGTCAATTTGAAGCGTCTTCGAGAAGACGAATCGAAGCCTCTCGAGTTTGATTTCAAGGAACCTCAAGTCGGCGAGCGGGCCATTGCCACGAACCGCAGGATTACCCCCAAGCAAAAGTCACTTGTTTGGGGCATGGTTGCTTTTGCCGTAGGGGCATCTGTCGTGTAAGAGTCTCGCTGTCAAACGCACGTTCCTGGCTGACCACCCTGCAGCTCGTTCTTGCCCAACCTATTCTAATGACTTTACGCCCCCTTTGCCGATTACATTATTCTAGTTGTATCTCTTTCTTATCAATCTATCTCGGATCGTAAATATGAAGCTTCAATTGTCTTGTTGTATGTAGAACCAAAGTCGTCAAACCAAACAGCCTGCTCAAGGTTGACACATGAGCAAACCGGACTCTGAATACAGTCCAGTCGCATAGAGAATGCCTTCCGCGCTGCGCAAGCCGGTCGAAGAGGACGAGAATACCGTTCCATCGCTCTGAAAGACAGTCTCGACTGAGTAATCTGGAGCGATGACCGATATCCAGCTGGGTGCTGTTGCTTTCGATGTAGGATCTGCTTTGACCTGCAGAAGCGACGGGAAGTGGGCATGGCCCGCGACGACGAGCTTCGATTCGGAATCGTACTCTAGGTTATCAGGGAGGAAGGGAAGAATGACCGAGCGCTGATACTTCAGAGCGTTCGTTTCTGCGTTCCGGCTGTAGAAACGAACGGCACTAAGTGAAGTCGAGGCGACGGCGACCTGCAAGCCCGAGGGAGAGACCGACACGCCATTGGCAAAAGGGACGAACAGTGCTGCTGGTTGGCTTTTGATGATGGATTCAGCAGCGTCAGGGTTCGGGTCCACAGACACATGGGACACCCAGCCAAGCGGCAGGGCGAGGAATGTCTCGATCACCGGGAGGACGTGTCCAACGATGGGCAGTCTGCGCGTCATCAGATGATCGTTCGTCACATAAAATGAGTGAGGAGAGGTGAGGGCGATGGAGTTGGGTGATGCGAAGTACGGAGACACGATCGTTCGTATGTGTTTCATCGCTTCTCCTGCAGGGGCGAGAGTGAACTGTTCGATAACGGTCCTCTCCCGGGCATGGTTGACTACAAATAGGTTACTGGGATTCTTTCCATCGGAAGGCCAGATAGCAAGGCCGAGAGGGTGGAATGTGTGGTTCTTTGGGAACCCTTGCAGCGCTAGTCTCCGAGGTTGGCCATCCGAAACTAACCACAGGGATCCCTTTGGCTCAGGATCTCGGAGCGGCCCCAGAACTGTGTTCCACGCTTTACGCCCCGCATCACAGCTCACAAGGACGTATTGATGAGTGGTGTTTATTTTGGCGTCCAGGACGTCCCAGATGGTGGCGTCTTCGCAGAACTTGAAGTCAGGAGCTTCGAGCTGGGTACACTGGATGTCGGCGCTACCGTATGCAAATGCTGCACTGGGAAGGTCTCTTTTTGTGAAAAGGGAAGGAAAGCTTGGTCCACTACGCCAGAAAACCAGCGCCTTGACGGGGTCGCATTGATGGTTCAAGACAAGGTGACATCCGGTTTGGAATACGAACATACCGCGAGAGCTATCAGAGTCGATGCCTGTGTTTTACTCATTGTCGCTGTGGTGGCGAGGGGCTCCAGGATGGCAAAGAAGCGCTGGAGGTAGAAGTTGCATTGGATTTAAGTGTTACATGTATAGGAGAAGGAGCAGGGTCGGCAACTCCGCAGCTAACCGCATTTCCCGAGTCCGATCTCCGCGTCTCATCACTTACCACCCGTTTTGCGCAGGCTTCCAGCAGCTAAAGGACAGAATGAACATGCGAAGGACGGGTGGACAGCAAAGATGCGAACAGGATCAGGTAGTTCTCGTGAACAGCGTGTTCTCCTCCACCAAACGAGATGTTAGCACCGCCGCTGAGAAACATTCAGGATGAAGCACAGACGGAACGAAAAGCTTCATACAGATGTTGGCCCGTCTTGCCTGGAACCATGATTCCGTTGATTTGCGCGGCAGCATGGTAGAGCTTGTCTCGGATGTTCTCTTCATACTAAAGACTGAGCATAAGCGCCGGAACGTCGAGAACAAGAGCAGCCTTCTCCCAACCGGGAGAATGGCGCGCTGCGGAGCGTGGAGCATATTGACTAGTCACGCACCCCGCCTTCGACCGGATTACGTCCCTCGGGAATGCGCCCGTGGGAGGTCTGAACCCATTCCATTGTACGTTCGTCAATGATGAGCAGGTCGTAGCGACCGCTGTGGCAGTGTTCCTCCCCACCATAGGCTACAGCGCATGCAGACGGTTGGAGATGCGGGCCGATCTTGCAGGGGTGGACAGACTTCTGGGATCCATCCTCGCGAGTAAATATCGCCGACCCGACGTAGATGGGGGAGCCATCTAGATCTCGAAAGGGTATATGCCCAGCGCGATCGAGGTCCTGCTTGTTGATGTGGGTATGGGTGTCCAGAGCAATGCGAAAGCCGGAGGGAGGCGCCTGGGAGGCTGCATATGTCGGGGGAGCCTGGAACTGGGGACTATCGAAGCTCATGGTGGTGGTAGACAGAAGGATTCCAAGGTGCAGACAGAGATCGATCCATGATGTTGAAGCGGTACGAGTACAGCATCCAAGTACAGCCATCTCTACATAACGTAATACGGCCTTCAACGCGGCGCCGGCGGTAAGGACACCTCTTCAAAGCCCCAATCGTCAGATGTAAGCGCAGGAAGTCCGATGCCCCGTTTGACGGGGCGGGTCGGCTCGATGGGTGGTTGAGGTGGGGGAGAAGCCTCCAGCGTTGACTGCTCCATCGCAACTACTAACGCCGCTCTGCACACAGTCAAGACTCAGTGATGGCATGGCAAATGCGTGCCAACGTACTGGATCTCAGCACTGCGTTGGGCACTCCAGTTCTTGCACGTTGCCTTGAAATCGGTGAATATCTGAGCCAGATCGTTGTAGAACTGGCAATGAGCGCATTTGCATTGAGCCTCGGGAGATCTTCAGAAGTAGCCAACGGACCTGGATTCCCTCGTTCAAATTCTTGACTATCTCCCGATACTTGTGGTATCCGAGTTCGAGTACCCGCAGAGCCTCTTCCCTTGCTCTGACAGCGGGGTCATCCCGTCGACTCTCGACGAACTTCTCGTTGGACGACTGGCCGAGGGGTCAGCGATCCCGATAAGTGGTTATTGTCCACTTACATCGATCGTTCTCAACAAGCCTTTCTGTTTTTCGCCGGCTCGCTCTAGTTCTTGCAGAAACTTGTCGTATTTTGACAATTCTTGATCCATCACTTCCTCAAACATGTCAGGCTTGACTTCCGCCAGCTTTTCTAACCCGGATGCCACGGATGCGATGCGATTATGGATGTTATCAGCCTTGGCGAGACTCTGGGCACGAGCGACGAAATCGTCCAGGGAACGATGGAGACTGTCCAATGCCTCGAGCGCAACCCGCAAGGCACGAGCATGCTGTTGCATGGCAGGGCCTTCACTTCCCCGCCTTGAATTGCTCGGTTTTGTTGAAGGGACTGCGGCCTCGAGTTCTGCCTGGTTGAGTATGGTATGAGTATCTGATACAGTACCAAGGGGGAACGACGCACTGGGTCACCGGCCAAAAGCATAATATTGGCTTCCCATTCATCCCATTTCTCGCGGACTGTCTCGTCGCTGTCTGAAGCACGTGAAAGTATGTCACGATATCTCCGTTCTTTGCTGATTAAATCGGCGTTGGCTACGTGCGAGGGCAAACGGTCAATATCGCCCGACTCTCGCATCGTCTCGTCTTCAGACGCTTCGTTATCCAGAATATCCATGGCGTCGTTCAATATATCTGCATCTTGTTGTGCAAGCCGGTGAACATCCTCCAGCGAACTTTCTATACGTGCTGGGCCGCCCTCCCGTCGGATGTCTTCCGCCTTTTGTAGCACACTGGAGGGCAATCCAGATGTCCGCTCTATGGCTTCTAGAGCAGATGGCAAATTCCGTTGCTGAAGGAAACTGTGTGCGCTATTAGCTGGTTCTTGCCGTAACGTTTCGATACTGACTCGTCTGCTAGATCCTTCAGACGCTGAGCTCCATCTAAAATCTGCTCCTTGACGAGATTATCTTTCCGATCCTCGTATATATCTGACACACGATGAGCCTTTCAAAAGCAAACAGTGGAATGGCAGACCTATGGCGGCTCTCGCGCCCCAACTCATAAGAGCGCCAAATAGAGGCCCCTCGTTGCCGATGAGACTAGTTGGATTCGACAGTCCGGGAACTATAGTCAACTTGGCGATATCCGATGGCACGATAGCTGGAAGTGCCGAAGAAGGTGGGATGTCTTCATGGTAAATGAGGTCATTGTCCCGTTCGGCCCGTGTAAAGTCCTTTTGTACAGCATCTAGCAGAGACTAGGACATAAACAGTCAGTCGCATGTTCAGTCTCGACAAACCCTATTTTCACCTGGGCATCTTGCATGACTGACGCGCTTGCCCTCCCTCGCCTTGCGATATCATAGGCCTGCTTAGCAGCCATTTTCGCTCGATCAAGTCGCGCTAGCTCGACACCATATCTAGAAGTAAATCAGATGAGATTGAGACAATGCAGTCCATCAACGAACTTGCTTGCTTCCAGTTCGGCTACGCTCTGGCGATACTGTGACACGGCCTCAAAGTGATACATCTTGGCCTCAATATGCGAAACCCATCCCTAATCACTCCACATATGATGCTGGTGGGAAGCGCAAGAGACGTAGCTTACAAGGGGAAAAACTTGGGCAATTGCTGGGCTCGCATTGCGGATAGTGTTCATCGCAGATCGGTACAGAATCTCAGTCTTTGCGTGGAATATGATGGGGAACTGGTCACGAGCAAGCGAAGTAACACACCTGAGCGGCTAATTTGGCCAAGAGAGTGTTTTTGTAGTTACCTTCGGTGATCGGCTGTCATGCATCACGGAGATTGACCACAAATTTATCACTCACTCAGTTTAGCGTTTTGCCACCAGCATTCTTGAGCTTGAGCCAACATGAGCCATTCCAAGCTGTGCACGAAATGCTCAGAAAGGTCAAGCAACGTGTCGTCCCGGTCTGGAGACAAATCGATCTTGTATTGCGGGAGAGCAGATGTTCTCAAATAAGACAGCGTTCCGGCAGCTTGCTGGCCGATGCTTGAGAACTTGTACATCACAGATGTGAAGCAGAAGAACCTGGAAGTTCGCAATGGCACGCTTGATGCCGTCTGCATTTGAGCGATCCTGGGAGTCCCCGAGTTGGGAGTATAACGCCGCTAGATTGAACAAGACCCCGGCACGTTCGAATGCGAGGTCTTTCAGTATAACAGGAAGGCCATTGGGACTGAAAACTGGTGCGTATGCGATCTCAAGGGAAATCTGCGGCTTTCCATGAGCAACAACAAGACCGGTCGACGATCCGCTTCACACATCAACGGGGAGTTTCGCCAAGATCGACAATAGCTGAGCATGGTATCTTGGAGAGATAGTCTCAGGGAAGGACACCCGAGGCGATGAGCAACGAACCTCAACGCCCCATTGGTCCGATCAACGTGAACCGCACCCCCAACACCGTCCTGCCGCAAACTCTGCCACCGGGTGATGTCGTTTCGAAATTCATCAGGATGACTGGAACTATGTGCAAGAAGATATTCTCGAACGGGTTCCTTTATGTTCAGAGTGTAAGTCTGCTTGAATGGTATAGTCAAGAGATTGGACATGAAGGAAGGCTCGGGACGAGACTGCCAGTGGCTATGATGTGACGTCACGCCGTTGCCACACAAAGACCGTGAAATGCGAGAAATTTCAGAGAAGGGGAAAGGGCGGGGATGGCAAGCGAAATGTGCAGTTCATCGGCTGTTAGGAGATGGGTCTGTGAATGAATATCGTCCGCCGGCGACCATGTCGGTCTACGATTCGACGGCAAGAATCAAATGTCTTGCGGACAATTACTAAACGGTGGGTTATTTCACGGATATGCGTAACCGTCCTCTCGCCAAAGTCTCCGGAGAGTCGTGCGTATGTGAAAGCGCTGAAAGAGAAAGAGACGGGTTCCGAGTCGTCAACGCCACTGTTGAATAAACACAAGGTATTTATATGAGTCAGGTTGCTAAAGACTTTATTCTTGCGTTTATCGTTTACGTGTGACGATCTCGCCAAAGCGTCCATCATTTGACCGACAACATCCTCATCGCCTTCTCTTCCACCACTTCATCCGTATTCGTGGTCTCAGTCGTAGTGCGCAGGTCCGCCACCGCTCCTCCCGCTACCACTCCCGCCCACTCTTTCAATTCACGTTCTGCCCTCACGACCAAATCCCTCTATCATGGCCTACCCAGAACCAAGCTCCCCCAGCGGCATGTCTCGCCGCCTCACGAACAGGAACACCAATCGGTATAGCGTTACCGCACTCTTCAGCATGGCTGCAGAGCAGGATGTTGAAGTCGAGGATGACCTGGCTCGTGGTACGTTTGGCCTGTTTGTCGTATGATTCACTTTCCAACCGTAGTCCCTTCTTTCAGCTCAGAAACGCCTGCGAGATCTGAAGGGAAAGATTTCTGCTCAGTCAAAGAAGAACTTTGTGCTTGAGCGTGATGTTCGTTACCTTGATTCTCGTATCGCCCTTCTCATTCAGAATCGCATGGCTCTCGACGAGGTACGTCAAATCTCTTCCTTCTGGTTTTTCGAGAAAGGCGTTGCTGAAGTTCCTGCGTGCTTCTAGCAACGCGAAGTTGAACGCACTCTCGAAGACGTCGATCCCACTGAGGGCCATTTCCCCGACGACCGCAAGCTACAACAATACTCCAACCTTTTCTTCTTGTTGCAGGCCGAGCCGCGCCACATCGCGTCGCTTTGCCGGTTGGTCAGTCTCTCCGAAATCGACACCCTCCTCCAAACGGTCATGTTCACCCTTTACGGAAACCAATACGAAAGCCGAGAAGAGCACCTTCTCCTCACGATGTTCCAGTCCGTGCTTTCCGCCCAATTCGAGACTGCCACGGATTTTGGGTCGCTCCTCCGTGCAAATACCCCCGTATCTCGAATGATGACGACTTATACCCGCCGCGGCCCTGGCCAGAGCTACCTGAAGAGCGTTCTGGCAGAGCGCATCAACAGTTTGATTGAGCACAAGGACCTCAATCTTGAAATCAATCCTGTCAAGGTCAGCGGTGTGAGATTTATGTCGAACCATTCTCATCCGTCCCCCAGGTGTACGAACAATTGGTGAACCAGATCGAGGAGGAGACTGGCCAGTTGCCCCCCAACCTGCCCCGAGGCGTTCCGCCAGAAGTTGCTGCTGAGAATCCTGATGTCCAGGCCTTCATTGCGCCTCGACTCACCATGCTCATGGAGATCGCCAACAGTTTCCTGGTCACCATCATCGAGAGCATGGAGAGTGTCCCGTACGGTATCCGATGGATATGCAAACAGATTCGAAGTCTAACTCGGGTGCGTCCTTGTGCGCTGGAAATCTGATGCTCTTGCTGATGCAACGAAGAGAAAATACCCTGAAGCCACGGACTACGCTATTTGTTCGCTTATTGGTGGATTCTTCTTCCTTCGGTTCATCAATCCTGCGATCGTGACGCCGCAGGCCTACATGTTGGTGGATGGTGTTCCGGCAAAGCATCCTAGGCGAACACTTACTCTCGTACGTCGCCCAATTTTTTTTTTGTTTACTACCCGTTCGACGTCTGTGCTCCAGATCGCCAAGATGCTTCAGAATCTGGCTAACAAGCCCTCTTATGCGAAGGAGGCCTACATGATCACACTGAATCCGTTCGTAGAGAACAACAAGGCGAGGATCAACCAGTTCCTGAACAGCCTTTGCGAGGTTGGCGACTTTTACGAAACGCTTGAGATGGATCAGTACATGGCCCTGTCCAAGAAGGATCTGGTCATTCACATTTCACTCAACGAACTGTATAACACTCATTCTCTCATCCTGCAACACATCGAAACTCTGGTACGTCACAATATCCTACAATGGGTATCTTGACTAACTTGTGGCAGTCTCCGAATGACAAACAACACCTTCGTGTCCTGACTGACGAACTTGGAGCTGCCCCTGCTCAGGTCCCCCGCAAAGAGAACAGGTCGATAGAGCTCAACCTTTATAGCCGTTGGGAGACGCCAGTTCAAGATATTCAGAGCGCCCTGATGGACTCGGTCTCTTCCAGCGACATGCTGTACATGGAGACCAAGTCCATATTCGTGCAGATCATCCGATCTATCCCGAGTGCGGCGGAGAAGCGACCGTACAATCTGTCCGCTCTTGCCGAGCGGGCTGCAACGACTAAGGATGCCACGCTCGTGCGCAAGGGAATCAAGGTGAAGGAGATGCTTCGGGAGCTGGAGGAACTCAAGGTCGTCGAGGAGGCTGATGGCTACAAGCTCATGCAAGAGGAGGTCGCAGCCGAGCTCGTCCATCTCGGAAACCTGCGAGAGAAAGTTGTTCTGGAGACCAAATCACTGGATGCAGTATACAAGACGATCTGCGACCACAACAACTACCTTCGCTCGCAACTGGAGCAATACAAGGCATATCTTCAGAATGTTCGAATGACGGCTTCAAAGGACAAGAGCAGCAATACAGCGGTCGGCGTTGTCATGGTCGGTGGCAAGGAGAAGAAGCCTGCCAAGCCCAATGTTCTTGGGCCGTATCGGTTCACCCATGCTCAATTGGAGAAGGAGGGAATCATCGTCGAAAGTAATGTTCCAGATAATAGGTATGACTTTGACTTGCCACCTCGGATCTCTGCTCACGAGATCAGGCGCCCCAACATCTATTTCAATATAACGTCTCCGTCGCCGGGTACTTTCATCATTGCTTTGCACTACAAGGGTCGAGAGAAGGCGATTCTGGAGATGGATCTCAAGATTGACGATCTCCTGGAAAAGGCGAGCCGCGTGAAGCTGTTTTTCCTCCCGTGCTGACGGGTGTTCTACAGCAAAAAGATAACAAGCATCTGCTTGACTTGGAATATGTTCAGCTCAATGTACCCAAAGTTCTCGGACTGCTCAAGAAGGTGTTCGCGAAGCGGTGATTCATCTGGTACCACATTATTTTTAAGACCTATTTTGTCTGTAATCTCCGTTGCGGACTGTTCCTATTCGTTCTATCTCTCTGTGTCTTTTCTCTCGGATGTATATTATCTATGTAACTATCTGAGACTGTTGTTTTACCAGCTTGACTCATCTCGCGCTTCTTCTGTGAACCGAACCCTGTGCTGTGAACAGCTTCGTCTCCATCAACACAGGAGCCGCGCCCAACGATCATTATCCAATCATTCTCAGGCTATTCCCCGCACTTGCACCCCCTCTTGTCGAAAACGAATGCGCTGAGACGACCCATGCACCTCATCTCTCTTCTTCCCCTTCTTTCTTGCCTTCTGGGCGCTTCGGCCAGTTTGATCTCCCCTTATTCGCCCAGTCTCCGTCTTCGCCTTCTCTCCCGGAGTGTAGCCAGCAATGTCTCGACTGTGGCGGGCATTACTTCCGTCGCACTCACCGGCGACAAGCAGTCCGTTCCTACCCTGGAAACGCTTGGCTCACCGCTCATATCTGTTCAAGGACGTACTACGCGGTGGCGGAAGCCGGAGGACTCAATTTCCGTCTTGCGCTGGACACAGGATCTGCAGACCTTTGGATTATGGGCTCCAGCTGTGTATCGAGCGTGTGCAAAGGGGTCCCTCAATACCCTCTTGGGCGCTTGAGTCCGAGCTTCTCCGCTGTGAACGACAACCAAACCGCGTTCCGGGCCAGTTACGCCGACGGGACTAGTACGCCATTTTTATCAGCGGCTCGCGGGGCATCGCTCATAACTGCTCTCGGACAGGTGTTTCTGGATTCGTTGCACAGGAGAAGATCGTGATGGCGAATGTGACTGTACCGAGCCAGGCGTTTGGTGCGTGGACGCGCTGTCTAGTGGTCGTGAACCCGAGTTCTGAAAGCCTCCGCAGCTATCATCACACAGGCCAATGTCTCCTTGTCCGATGATGTCAGCGGACTCATCGGTCTGGGATTCCCCCGGCTTTCGTCTATTTCTAGTTCCGTGACCAACTGTCCGTGGTTCGACCTGCTATGCCGGCAAGCTGAGGACTCAATGCGTTGACAGCTACTCCTTTCTTTACTTCCCTCGCACGACAAGGCATTCTAGACTATCCTCTCTTCGGCCTATCGTTGACGAATGATGGCGGTGGCTCGTTGACGCTGGGTGCTATCGATTCAGATGTCGTGACGAATGTCAGCGCCATCAGCTGGAACCCAGTCGTCCAGTTCTCCCCCCAAGGAACCCAAAGCAATGCCTCGAGTTACTTGTTTTGGGCAACAGTGCGTGCTGCTTCCAGTTTCTGATGCTTCCGCTGACTTGGGTCAGCCGTTGACGTCGTTCTCTGTGCGAATCACATTGTCTGCTGTCGCCGCCCGGCTGACTTGATATAGGTCGCCAACCACACGCTTATTCCTAACCCCACCTATCCTCTCGCGACCGGCAACTCATCGTTGGGCCTGTTCGATGTGTACGTATCGTATCATCTTACTCGATTGGATGATGATGACTGACTTATCGCAGCGGAAATTCGGGAATATATGGTCCATTTCAAGACGTGGGTTCGGCTCTGCCCAGTCCTGGCATCGCTGCTGACCAGAGCGCAGGTCGAGCGGCTTTTTTCCTTGATCGACGGGTCGCGGATCGTCGATGAACGTCAGTCGAGATGTATCCAAGCACGGCAAACGAGCTCATCCATTCTATAGGGGGGATCTGGGCCATTCCTTGCGACACAGCGGCGACAATCACATTCAGGATAGGGTGAAGGATCATGCACTTTGTCTGACGGCATCTTACGTCCACCAGATCGCAGAATTACACGCTCAGCCCTGCCGATTACCTGATTGGTGCTGCAGCTGGGAACCCGCAAGTCTGTCTGTCTTGGCCACAGGCTGCGGCTCCCAGTCCAGATGGCATTGACTGGCAATTCGGTACACCGTTCCTGCGGACTGTGTACTCTGTTTTCAGGCGCGACCAGACCGTCATATTCACGCACGAGTGACTGATTTAGATTACAGTCATGGCATCGACTCCGCGGAGGCCCCTCGTGTGGGATTCTACTCGTTGAAGAATGCCACCGTTGCACAACCGGCTTCGGCATCTTTATCGCAGTCGGCCTCTTCTGCATCTGCAACAGTCACCAGTTCATTTGTTCCCCAAACCATTGCTACGACGCTTCCCAACTCGCTGCTCCCGACGCCAATCATACTGACACCGCCATATGCATTCAACACTTCTATTCCAGCATCTATCGGGGGAATCGTCACGGCTGGACTTGCCACGAGCACATACAGCCCCATCCTCGCCCAGAAACATGTGACATCTCTGCCCTCGATCGCATTTCCCCCTGCGGTCACCACTATCCTCACCACCGACGCCCGAGGTATCACCCGCACAACTACATCCATCATTTCCACGCCGCCAGTGACGCTCGGGCTTGCTGCAGGAAGGATGTCCTCCTCGACAAGGAGCTGCTCTGTCTCCGTCTATAACATCGCTGTGCTTCTGTTGCTATGCAGGACTTTATATCATACAATTTTGTAGATAATACACGCTACTTGCTTGACTGCTTGAACCACGCTCCGCTGCTTGGATCATGTGTCGCCGCTCTTCGCTTCCTGACCCTGCTGCCATTCCCGCCACCAGCCAGGTACACTTTGATTCCGTTCGCTGTCGCAGCGTTCCGCCTCCGCTCTGAGCTCGGCGTCTTCACTTGCAGCCTAATTCGATGTCAGAGCCTGCGAGCCACGAGACCTTCACGGATGGACCTACTTCTGATGCAGCGAAGGCCACGGCTCGCGTCTGGCCGCATTCAATAAAGTCTCGGACGGCACTGACTTCTTCAGCGACGAATGGCCGGATTCTGAGGTCGTCCCAATTCCAAGAGGATTTGGCCAGCATTTGCAGGCTTTCCGGGTCGAGTTTTCGGTCGATCCATCTGCTCAGGACGGCCAGCTCAGAGAGTTTCGTTTCCGTAAACGACGTCTCGCATGTCACTGTTTTGATATTGGAAAAGTGGGTGGGTGATCCCTGCAGGTATAACCAATTTTGGCTGTCTAGCCGGTCCTGTGCCGACGGATTTGTTTTCTCGGCTTCGAACCGATTCAATAGCCCGGTAAGCATCGGGAAATCACCGAAGCGATCCAAGGTGACCCTCGCACGGGAGATCACACTTTTGTATATCTCTTCTTCGTCTGCTGGTATTTTCCGCGACGAGCGTTCGAGCAAAATCCGGCCCTGTCCAGGTAACCGTCAGTCCCGTTAGTCTCTCGCATGATACAACCACGAACATCAGCGGCAAACGCTTCTATCACGGCCGTTTGCACCGTCTCTTGATTCTCCAGACGAAACTGCGCAAGATACAACGGTAGTAAAACAGGATAAGCCGCCCACTGCAAGCGGCTTGGATAAGTAGACAGTCAGTAGGTAGAGAAGATGCAACGCACAATGTTAGGCTGGACCGAGTGCAACCTCGTGCTGTCGCTCACCCGACTGCCCTCGTAGCTCATCGTGTTCGCCGCATCAAGACAGTGAAAGGGCGATGTCTCGAATGGAAGGCATACGACCTGACGCCCATGCTGCGTCCGTAGATCGTTCGTGAAGGGTATTGGACGTTCGTGATTCAATTCCTTGGAGAGCAGAGGAATCATCGACAATTTCTCCATCGTGTGTCCTGGACATTCCATTCACCTCACTGAAATGAGGAAGGGCAGATGGGGATTCCATTTACCAGGAAGGTATCTGCGTTCGTCGGACTCCATACCATCGAAGTCAAGTAGATACTACTCACGAGTTCCAAGATACCGCAGTGACTTTCAAGTTCTAGGCAGCCCGTCAGTCGTTTCAGTCCAGCGCTCAGAATACGGCGCAGACCGATGGGGATTTAGAACCGCTGTTCGTGAAGCTGACTCTTCCCTCCAGTTCTGTGTCGATCAACCAAGCAGGGAAGTAGACTGAGTGGTGTCAAACACGGGACGTTCTCTGGAAAGCACACAAATGCAACGAACCAGGAACGAGGTTTTCCGGTGTGACAGTCTCGACCAGCCATTCCAATGTCCCAATTACTCTGTCGGAGACGACACATTTATCAAGGGCGTCTTTAGGCGAGACTTGGAACGGGTAAGCGCGGACTTTGGGTGAGTATGACACCATAGTCCTCGACCTGGGGACGATATGTCTTGACCTCCCCAAACAGCTGAATCTCCGGGACAGCATCGTGAGTGATGCCGGGCTATAGCAAGTCGAAGGACCGAGAGCCAGAATGATGCTATTTGGATACTGCAAACAGCATCATTTCTATCCGCCGTCACATCGCCCGTGACCGCGTGCAGCCAGCGTCACGGCATTGCTCGTGACCGCGACACCTCCACGTCGTCCTCATCCATTTCGGGCAAGGCTCGATCACCTCTCTCTCTTTCGTTCCCTTTCGTTGTCCGTGGACTTCTGGCAAGCAGCCGCTTGCACCATGTTTCGCTCCTTGCTTGTGGTCGCGCAGCTCCTCTTTCTCGTCAACCTCTCCCTAGCCGCGGACTACTACAAAATCTTGGACGTTCACAAGTCGGCCTCGGAGAAGGATCTGCGGCATGCGTACAAGAAGCTGAGCAGGAAATACCATCCCGACAAGAACAAGGATCCAGGTGCCGAAGACCGGTTTGTGGAGATTGCTCACGGTGCGCGCTCCGTCACTGCTTGTCCGGTGGACGTAGGTGCTGATGCGTTCGTTAGCGTACGAAGTCTTGTCGGACCCTACGGTCCGTGCATTGTCTCTTCTGCTGTCTGCTTCATCATTCCGTTATAGAAACGAGACATATATGACCGGCATGGAGAGGTTGGTTGCCGGGCAGCATTCTTCGGCTGTGGTATTGACCCGATTGCAGGAGGGGCTGAAGGCACACGAGGGGGGTCAGCAACAAGGCAACCCATTTGATATGTTCTCCAACTTTTTCGGTGGTGGATGTTAGTCTTCTTCCTCCATTTGTCTGCCACATCCATCTAAACGTGTTCCAGTCCAGCAGCAGCAACAAGCGCGTCGCGGCCCGACCTCGGTTACCGAATTTGAAGTGGAATTATCTGACATGTGCGTAGCTCGAAGCGTCTGACGACGGTGTCTGAATGCATCTCAGATACAAGGGAGCCAACATTGATGTATGTGCTTCTTCGCGACCACCCTGCACACACACCTACTGATTGTGCTTCTGGAATAGTTCATGATCAAGAAGAATATCTTGTGCGATCACTGCCGTGGCTCTGGCGCAGCTTCGGATGGCGACATCCATACTTGTTCTGGATGTAGTGGCTCGGGTGTGAAGATGGTCAAACAGCAGGTTCGCCAAGTCCTGCCATCTCACTGCGTAATTCGATACCAACACGATATAGATCTTCCCGGGTATGTTTGCCCAAAGCCAGACGACGTGCAATGATTGTGGTGGACGAGGCAAGGTGATCAAGAAGAAGTGTCCTCACTGCAATGGCAACAAGGTGAGTTGCGCGGTTTCTCATTGGATGCCGGTTCGCGAGCTTCGGCAGGTTGTCGAGCATGCGTCTACGTATACTCTCGAAATCACCCCCGGGATGCCCGAGGGTCACGAAGTTGTCTTCGAAGGCGAGAATGACCAAAGCCCCGACTGGGAGGCGGGTGATGTTGTGTTGCGCGTGCGGAGCAAAAAGAACAAGGGGGGCTGGAGGAGGAAGGAGAGCAGTCTCTACTGGAAAGAGACCATTGGCGTCGAGGAGGCTTTGCTCGGTTTCGAGCGCAATTTGACACATCTAGACGGCCATATAGTCACACTCTCTCGTAAGGGTGTGACACAGCCAGGTATGAGATTGATGGAACCGCACCGTTACGCATGCTGAACATTTGACAGGATTCGTACAAACCATAGAGGAGGAGGGAATGCCCCACTTTGAGTCCAATACCCACGGGGAGCTGTATGTGGAGTACAATGTTGTCCTTCCGAGAGAGTTGTCGACCCAGACACGCCGAAGTGAGTCGTATGCAGTCACTTTCTCGTGCTACGATCTGAGACCATGTTGCAGAGCTCGCCGAAGCATTTTTCGGATCTAGCACGGGTCACGACGAGCTGTAACTTATATTACTATCTTCGGCTATTTGCGCGCGACTTGATTATTGTCACCGCGATGGCGAGCTGATATTGCCTGATTCTTGAGCTCTCGGATGCTAGCAACAGGAGAAGTCTCTCAACTGAATAAGATTCACGCCGCGTGATGGCGTTGCCCGACGTCTTCTATTCGAGTGTTCTCAAATATCTGAAAGGATATACTTACACCCAAGGAGTGCATATATGAGTATGAGACGAGCAGATTGCATAGACCACCACTCCATCTTTCGCCCCTTCGTTCTCTTTCCTCGGCCAGGTCGCCCTTTCTTTCGCCTGCTCACGTTCCTTCGACATGTTCTCTGCCTCCGTCGTTCTCTTGCTCTCCGCATTTCTTCTTAGCTGGACCGCTCCAGTCTTTTCCAAGCCGCTGACTGTTCGCCGCGGGCCGTCGATCGCATGTGCGTCGAGACACAAGGCTTTAGTTCTTCTGACGCGAGCGTGTACGTACGATAGATGCGCGAGATAACACTACCCAGACGCGCAATGTGACTTCCACCTCGTTCGACAACTACCACAACATCTCGGCACTGAACGGCTTCGACCAGTTCTACGGTCCCAACAACTTTGACGGCCGGAAGAACGATCAGAAAATTGTCATCCAGGAGAAGCAGACCCAGTGCGAAGTCGTTCGAGTGGAGATCATCCAGCAGAAGCTCGCCATCATCCAGGAGTTGGTCAAAAGGTGATTGGAGATTTCAGTGACGACGAATGGGGGCCCGCACTCAGACGACGCGTGTCTAGGATAATCACCGAGCAGATCTGCGACGTCGAGACTCAAACGATCGTTCTCGAGCAGCACAACGGGTCAGTCGCAACCCACTTGGTTGCCTACATGTCACGGCCAACGACGGGGCTGACGAGCAGAACAGCGTCCTCAAAGTCCTCCGGGACCAGATCCAGCGCACCGTTGTGAAGAAGCAGATCGGGTACGACAAGAGCATCGCGGCCAAGTTGAGCCAGATCGTGAACTCAGATGGGACGCTGAACTCTAATGACCTCGGCTTCAACGGCACGGACGTCGGGAAGAATACGGTTGTTCCCGCGGGCAATAACTGGAATGATGCCACGTCCCCGGCGCTCGTGAAGGCCGCGCTCCAGGCAGCCATTGCCGCGACCAAGTCCAATGGGACGGCTGCTGCGACTAACACGACGGGAACGCATTGATTGATGACAATATTGCTGAGATTGGACTTTTTTTGTAGTATGCTTCTGGCCCTGTGATGTAGCTCAATACAGGACATTCAGTGAGAAGGCGGACGGACGGATGAGTCGCCGGAATATTTTCCACCGAGGAACGGCGGGGTTCTGGCCCTACGTATGAGCGAGATCTTGGGCGATGTCATTGGTGACAAAATCTTGAGTTTGAAAGCTGGAATCTTATTCAGACCAGCTGGGGCCGGACCATCGGACCGAGTGCCGGTGGGAGTTGATACTAAAGCACGGATGCATCACGCACGGGGTTCCCGCACTTGACGCCCACATCCGTGACGTCCTCCGGCCACTGCCTTGCCAGGCTCTTTTGGTGAGCGCATTCGTGTCACCCTCCGGTTTCGTTGCCGCTCATTCCAGGGACAGCAATCGCGCCGTGTCCCAGACGCTGAGTGGGCACTCTTCTCTCTCATGCCGGTCTTGCAGTGATGATGCAGAGTGTCTGGACACACAGGAATCATCCCGGGAAGAGGCGCCTGGGTGATTCCGAAGACAATCGACGCAACAAACGCCGTCGGTGCCGTGATTAGTGCCAGAGTTGACAAGCTTTTGCCCCAAAAATCAAGTAACCCAGGTCGCTCGCCTCATGCCAGTATGATACATTGCAGGATGTTAATACACGTCTTGTCATGGCCACTTATGCCTGGCCGCATGTCACAGTCTGCCTCAAGCCGGACAAGAAAGACTCACTAGGTAGTTGTAGGACTTGCGATCGTCGCATCGTTCAAGGTACTCCCGCTGGAATGGCTCAGTCGTCGGCAGCTACACCAGAACCGGGGAAACCACGCACATCGATCAGGTTCTCGATCCGTTTCTTGATATTCAGCGGGTTGGGATTGAACCGAGTCGCCAGCTGACGAGTGACTTCGTTGACAAGATCGTTGTGTGTCATGTGTTTCCTGTCCTTCATGATCCGCACTATGCAGGCCTGATTGTGTCCGGCTTAGCAGCAGTAGCCCAAGCCAAGTGTAGATCAGACACACCTCGGTCTGATGCTTTCGCTCTTCCTCAATCCGATCCCTCGTCTCCTTCTGCTCGTCCGTGTTCTCCACCTTGGACGAGATAGTGCTGATCTTGATCTTTTGCAAGTTCGAAGTGAAGTCTGCATTGAACGAGAAGGAGTCCGACGGGATCACCTCTCGGCTGGCGGGGTGTTTCTTGAGAATCTTGAACTTGGCACATGCCAGTGATTGCAGATGCCTTTGCAATATTTCCTCGTCCTCAATGCCTGTTGCCTGTTTGATTTCCTAGCAAAGCAATTGGCAATCTAGTGCTGACGGCTTTCACGTCGGAAACGCACCTCGTATGTGAGAAAATCATCCGGACCCTGGTCTTCAAAGAGGAGAAGAATAACCATTGCAATGGTGGAAAGGTTGAGGTCGTGCTTTCTCGCCTTGAAGGTTACGCGAACGTCAGCGCTGCCCAGTGTCGGCTGCCACGTAAGCCGACGACCAGTGTGCTGAGCGAGGTAGAATTTCTCGAAAGACTGCAGAGTCTCGATCAGCTCCAAAGGAAGCTGGCATGGTGTCGTTGATTGCGTCATCGGCCAGAACGTAGAGGTCATCACGATGGCCGATAATTCGATCTTGGGTGGCTACGCATGGCTTGAGATAAAACAGCTTTGGGGTGACTGACTGGGGAACTTACGTGGTCCAAATACAAGCTAGTGCTCTTGTACGATCGCATGGTGTCTTCAGAAAGCCGCATGTCATTGAACATTCCCTCCAGCTTCTGGGTGAACTGGTAGCCACATTCCACCTTGAGTTTCGCCAGCATCCCCCTCTCCGCATCGTCCGAAACAGATCGACCTTGGAGCAGCCGCTTGGCGAGATGCCCTTTATAGTATCGCTCAAACACATCTTTCTCTGTGATGTACCGGAACACTGTGATCGTCTTCTCAAGTACCGCGTCCACTTCGGTATCGGTTTTCTGCACACAAGTCAGCACGATGACACATGCAAGAAGACCCATCAGCTGACCCCCTTCAGTCCACGACGTAGGTTGTCGTCGATGAACAGCGAGATGAATTCCGAGGAGCGCTCATTGGCGTTGATGAATGACTCAAAAGCCTACAGAATTCTCAGAACCGCTCAGCCAGCCAGCGATGGAGAGTTACTGACCTCGTTCAGTGTAGCTTCCAGTTCTCTGTCAGCTGCAAATGCATCTCTCCAGATGACGTCAAAGAGATCCTTCAAGTTGAGCACCTCTTGCACCCAATTGAGAGCGAGTAGTAGCGTCTGGGCGCCAGACGTCACACGTTTCGATCCTCCACCATCCCCTTCACCTAGTGACGTCTGGTTGATCCCATCTCCTCTTTTTCGAATGCCCTGTCTGAAGGCCCGCTTCAGACAGGGCATACCGGCCGGGACTGTAATAAATAGTCGGTGTAAACGAGCTATGTCAGAGATCTTGTTCAAGTCGATCATGGCATCCAGCCCGGATGATTCCATAGAAATGATGGTGGCTAGATGTGCAGTCAATAGATGGTCTTGAAGGATTTGGCGTAGTGCCGGTGCGGTCGTCCGGGAAAGATAATGGTGTGTCCGAGAATCTTCGGATTCAAATCGTGCTTCGACCTATGCATGGGTCAGAGACGACGATGAATCCAGGAGATTTCCGTATTACACGCAGTAGAAATTCCGAGGCATCGCAAGTTTGAGTGAGGGTGTGACCCTCGGCTTCATAGAACTGTTGGCTCTCACGCAACAAAACGGGCTCAAGATCACGCTTGTAGATGCTGCCGCTGCTGGAGTCCTGGAGCGCGACAAAGACATCAACGCATCCCTTGATGGCAGAACGGTTGACTGTGTGTCCATGTCGCTCGTATCGGACCTGGTTCAAGATGGCAGTAATAAGGTGGTCCTTGATCAACGGCCGGAATATGCGTTCGAGAAACAGCGCAAGCCCTGCATCCCATATCTCTGGAACTTGCGCGGTCTTAGTATAAACCCGATCCTACACTGGGCAATGAAGTGGGAGAACATCACGCCGGGCTGTGCACGTACCATGTACTTGAGAATCTGTCCAAGCCTGACCATATTGCTCGTGTGATCATCCCAAATATTTCTCAGTGCCTTCAGTAGTACTTCGGCATCCTGACTCTGCACCGTCCCGTCACCAGCGCCCGAAGGGAACACGGGAATGACTTGGGTATTCGCAAGGTGATCCAGATTCTCCGTGATCAGCTCTTTCACACCGTTGTACAGCATGGCACCGTTTTTGTGAAGCACCATGTTGTATGCAAATCGGTGATTCTCCTCAAATGAAAGGTTCTGTGCATTGTGGTTCTGTATCTCGCGGATGTTGTTCGCTAGATCCGACCACGTTTTGTCGATGGAAACATCAGGACCATGCTGGGAGACACTCAGTATATGTTGGGATATGAATCGGACCCTTGGACCTTTCGAGGAGGTTTCTGTTATGCCGCAGATGAGTCGAGAGACGCGTCAGGACTCGAAATCAACATACAATCTTCGGTCTACCGCGGCGCGCCACTGAGAGGATAGCAGTGAGCGTAAGCCTTCCATTTTCAAATGAACGTACCTGAAGACATTATTCGTTATCCAAGAAGGTATGCAAAGAGCGAAGCTGTGGTAGGTTGTAAATGAGGCGTAAACGAGAACGTGACGGTGGCTGTGATGCCGAGGCCGAGATAATCACCGGCAGCGGTCTTTCGCGAGATCTCTCCATCTTCCCCTGTTCTACTTCTTATGCAGCGAATGGCAGGTAAAGAGCCTATCAAGGTTGGCATCCTGGGAGCCACTGGTACAGTTGGCCAGCGCTTCATCACCCTTCTATCTGTACATCCGTGGTTCACCATCCATGCTCTCGGTGCATCATCTCGTTCAGCGGGTAAAGTCTACGCTGCTGCCGCCAATTGGAAGCAGATCACCTACATGCCCAACGCTGTGAAGGACATGATTGTTCATGAATGCAAACCGGAGCCCTTTGCAGAGTGTGCCATAGTGTTTTCGGGGTTGGATTCAGACGTCGCCGGGGAAATTGGTATGTCCGATGACTCATGCGACCCTCGTTTTTCGTCTGACGCTGGGCAGAGAGCGCATTCAGAGCCGCTGATCTGGCTGTCTTTTCGAATGCGAAGAACTATCGTCGAGATCCGCACGTTCCACTCATCGTCCCTCTCGTCAATCCCGAGCATCTTTCCATCATCGGCCAACAGCAGGCACTGCACTCCCCGCCTCTCAAAAAAGGATTCATCGTGACGAATGCCAACTGCTCGACCACCGCTCACGTCATCGCACTCGCGGCGCTGGAGAAAGCTTTCGGTCCGCTTGAGACACTCATGATCACGACCCTGCAGGCGATCTCCGGTGCCGGCTACCCAGGAGTTCCCAGTCTAGACATCATCGACAATGTTGTTCCGTACATCTCCGGGGAGGAAGAGAAGATCGAATGGGAGACTCGCAAAATACTTGGAGGGATGGAGGAAATGGAGGGCCAGACCGTGAGCGGTCGGCCGCTGCAACAGTTCGACATGCATGCCCAGACACCGCTGAAAATATCCGCTGCATGCAATCGAGTGCCAGTGACGACAGGGCACATGATCAATGTTTCTCTCAAGTTCTCACGTCGCCCACCGCCTTCTCCTCAGCAAGTATGTGAGGCTCTGAAAGCCTACCGCTCGGACGCGCAATTGCAAGGATGTCCATCCGCCCCATTGCAGACCATCACAGTACACGACGCACCCGATCGCCCTCAGCCTCGAATGGATCGAGCACATCAGGACGGCGCTGGCATCAACGTCGGTCGCGTCCGCCAGTGTCCTGTCCTGGACATCAAATTCGTCGTCCTCGCCGACAACGTCAGCATCGGCGCCGCGACTAGCAGCATCATCAACGCCGAGTACGCTGTGCTCCAGGGCGTGGTATCTTCATAGAAATGTAAATCGTTAGGAAATTTCAATCGGAATATGTACAGATTGTTCTTCGTCGTGGGTCTGCACATTTCTGTAAAACGCGTGGGACACGTGATCGTTCCTACACACTTTTCCCATGAGCGACGAAGCGGCTCTCAAAGCAGCGGTATTCCAGCGCCTTCATCCTCGCGCGTATCTCGAACGCTTCGTCTCGGAGAACTATCGACCCGACGGCCGCTCGTTTGACGCCTGGCGAGACGTTTCCGTCAACGTCGGTAGGTATGGCTCGACGATCTTCGCCCCGACGCGCTCTCATTCAGTTTCTCGCAAGGCTCTATCTCTACCGCCGACGGATCTGCTCTAGTACGCCTTGGTGAAACTACGATCGTATGCGGAGTCAAGGCTGAGATCGCCGAGCCTGAGCTCGACAGTCCCGATTCTGGCTTTTTCGGTGCGGGAGATCATCGGCGCTTCCTCAGCCTTGAAGATATCTGAATCACTGTCCCAGTACCAAATCTGGATCTCCCCGCCTTATGTTCACCCAAGTTTAAGCCTGGCCCACCCAGCGACGAAGCACAAGTGCTCTCGGATCGCCTCAACGAAGTTCTCGCATCGTGCGTTCCTTCGCATCTTCCCTTCCTTTCAAGCTGATAGCCCTGTAGTACAATAGCCCTGTCCGATCTTGTCATCCATCCTGGCAAGGCCGTCTGGGTTCTCTACGTCGATGCGACGTGCATAAACTACGACGGCAATGTCTTCGACGCGGCCGTCATTGCGATGGTGTCTGCACTGCGAAACAGTGCGTGAAAACCAGATTTTTTCTTCTCACGCTGACCGTCTCGGCTGCAGCTGGGCTTCCTAAAGCCACATACAACCCGGAGACGGGACAGACGCTATGTTCTAGAACCGAACGCCTGCCCCTGAAGTTGTCTAAAAACCCGATAAGCATGTCGTTCGGAGTGTTCGACTCGTGAGTGGGTGCAGCATTCGGCCATTCTAGTCTCTCATGCCCCGATCAGGACTCTGCTCGTGGATCCCACTTCCTTTGAAGAACCGCTGCTGGACACCACGTTTTCCATCGTTGTGGACGAAAACGGGCAGCTGATGTCAGCTACGCAGCAGGGGCCCGGTCTGGAGAGGGAAGACACGCTTTCCACATGCATAACCGCTGCAAAAGCGCGCCGGGGACTTGTCGGCCAGCAAATACCATGATGCTTGCTCTCAATGCCAGTGCTTTGACTCCGATTATGCTACAGTACATACGACTGCGGTGATTAGTGCTTGTACAAATTGGTGTGATCATTAGTAAAACAGTGTGAGATATATGCAAGACGGGTAACAACAAACACATCCGGTCATGACCGCGCCGCTCGCACAACATCAGCAAAGTACTTGCGGAATGCCCTGGCGTCGAGATCTCGTAGATTGGTCGTCAGCTCCGCTGCGGTTTGGGGTGGCCAGCCCTGTGCTGGGAGGAACACATTGGCGAAGAAGGCCTCGGCCTCGGGCCCGCGTGCCTTGGATATGGTCTGCAACAGCACTCCGATTTCGTTGATCACCTGGCTGTGGCCAGGATCCTTCAAGTTAACTTCCGGGCGGAACAGAATCGGAAAAACAGCGGGGATGATCCGGTCGTAGAGATACTGCTCGAAACCCGGCAATGATTTTTCTGCAGTGCCACTCCCGTTCGTGACAGCCGACGATTGGCCCCAGACTGTGACAGATCGGATGAGGAACAGCAGCGCCGCCCGCTGGCAGGAAGGATCCGACGTGTCGCAGGCGATCTGAAGCATGCTTCCCATGAGCGAGTCGAAGCCTCCGCGGTTTCCTTTGCAAGCAAGATCAGACCAAGAGGGAGCACAGATGACACATCATGCTCACGTTCTGAGATAAACACAGACGTCACTTTTGAGTTGAGAATGCCATTAAGGAGAGTGAGGTACGCTTTTTTTGTCTCGAGTTGCAGGCGTTGCTCGTCGGTACCAGAGACGGGCTGTGCCAGAAGGCCGGTGATATGCGTGCTGAGCGGCCCGAAAAGTTCATCGAGGACAGAGTACATGTCGTTCTGCACTGTGTTAAGCCCGTAACTGATACTACACCCTGGAGGCACCTACTTGAAGTTTGTGGATCAACAGCCCAAGGAAGTTGAGGAAGTCGACCAGCTCCGATGGCTCAAAGTGCGAGAGAAGGTCGGACATGAGCTGAGGGATGAGGTGCGTGATGTTGGGTCCCGTAGTTGCTAGAATCCGCGCGAAAGCGAATCGACTCTGCCAAAGATGTCAGCCTCGGTACGTGACAATTCAGCTATCCACTGCTTACAGCGTCTCGGACGTCTTTGAGAGTGTTCATTGCTTCTAAGCAAACCAGGATGGCCTGCGAGATCTCTCGGAACTGGTCTATGGGTAAGGGTATATAGTCTGCGGGCACTGGATTCGGGTAATCGGGGAAGCCTTTTGTCACCGTCCCGAGCGCCATGATAGCATGGTGCACTCGCACGATGGGGACCAGATCCTGGTTTCCCTTCGCACCATAAGCTTGCAGATTGTCCGACAGCTCAGACATGAGTGGTTTGACGAAAGAGAGCAGTAGTGACGCCAGCTGATCAGGGGTTTTCCACGTCAAAGAGCAGAGCGTGCCCACTGTCTCGTACAGATACAGTTGCGAGTCAAAAGTCGGATCGCGTACAGCCTCGGCAAGGACGTCAGATGAGTCCTCGGCCTCGGCTTCTGGGAGCTGGACTTCGATACACAACAGGTCCCGAATGCTATCTGCGATGTTGGCGGCAACCTCGGCAGGGATGTCGTGCTTGACCTCCTTGATGAAGCGGTGGAACAAGTAGAAAAGCCGTAATCGATGGTTGGTTTCCGTGCTGTGCAGACCACTAATCGAAGTTGAGTTCGTGGGCTCTCAATGCAGTCGCAAGACCTACCGGGAATCAATCATGGCTTCAAGGATCGGAAGGATACACTCTTTGCGGACTTTGAAGAAGTCGGGGTAACGGGAAACGGCCTCAAAAAATTGAAGGGCGACCCGGCGATCCGGGTGCGAAGACAGGTTGGATTGGATCAGTGCAAAGAGCATCTCACCATGGGGCGTCAGAGGATAGATAGAATAGTCCGCCACCTTTCTTTGACCCTTGTCCACGGCAGGAGCTTGACAGAACGCGGCTCGGCCTTTGCCACCCCCTGCAAGGAGTGTTTGAGCGGCCGTGTTCAGATATCAAGAGTTGATTCACCTTTATTGATTTCTCCGAATGCGTAGATAAGATAAGCCGCGAGTTCAGAGTCGTTCCATTTCACGGGGACGCCCGTTTGATGGGCATTGATGGTGGACATAACCAGCGTGTAGATGGGCTCTACGACGAGAGATTCGTCCACTACCTGCACCGAATCGATGAATGTCCTCAGTTCCTTCGAACCAGACATTAATAAACTGTCAAGAGCTCAACAAGCAACACTACCTTGCGCAGCGAGTCAAACTCAGAGATATCATCTTCATCTGGATCTTCTAGATCGGTTTCCTCGTCCCATTTGAGTTTCCTCAACATTACTTGCATGAGCGAAGTAAGGAACGACCGTTTAGTCTCATCCAGCCGGTCCGCAGACGCTTTGCGGGCACGTTTGTACTAGGGATCAGATCAGTGTATGCCCTTTCCAATTCACGACAAAAGGGGAGCCTACGCTTGCGAGGATACTTTGCAGCAGCGGGAAAATGGTGGTGCATGTGTCGTCGTATTCGTCGGCCATGAATTGCAACATGATGGGCAGTATCTGGCCCAAAAGTCCAGACGCCTCTGTTCTGACGTCCGGCTGGACTCCATCCTCAAGTAGTTTGGAGAGTTCGAGTCCAAGCACGTTGAGAAGCTTGCCTAATGCTTCCCGGTACAGTTCTTCGTCCTCATCCGTGTCCGACCGTGCAGCTTGCTCAGCCCTTGTCCTGGCCTCAAGAGCTTCGATAACTTGACCCAGAGATAGGACTTTGAGAAGTTGCAGCTTGTCTGTCGGTTCTTTCAAGCCCTTAGTGACAATTTTGGACATTGCTGTCACGGTGGCAAGACGGATGGGGACAGCTGGATCTGCGAGCAGATTAAACAATAACGGAACGGTAGTCGGAGTGACAGTCAGGTTGATGTCGATCCACCCTGTAGTCCATTATGTCAGGAAAGGGAGAGTGTGTGTATCAAGCTGAAGTCGCACCAACATACGACCCAAAAGTCCTGATTCCGAGATCCACCGTTTCAACAGCAGATGCTTTTTCGCGGTCGGAGGTGTCATTTCTCTTGATGAGTTCTGTCGCGTCCGCAACGATGGTCAGCACAGCCTCGTTTATCCCAGCGGCGTCTCGCTCTCTGACTGCATCCCGGACGCGTCCATCGCGTTGATGACGAGTCTCGTCGAAGGTGCGCGCCGACTTGAGCAGCTGGTCGGCCACTTCTCCAGAAATCTCGAGCACAATGTGGAAAAACAGAAGGACGATGTGATGGTTGAACGCCGGTTGATTCGACGATGATTGTGCGGGACGAATCAGGGTAAACAAGTCCGCGAAGAATGTCGGCCATTGTGAGATATATGTGCAGAGAAAGAAGAGGGTGAGCGTGTGAGAGAATTTGTTCCTAAGGACTGAGAGACGCGTTCAATAGGGTACGAGCATGTGTGGCAGCCGATCTCACAGGTGGAATTGGCTTCCGCCTGCCCAAACACATATTCGCTCTGGATGTAGTTGAGAATACCTTGCTGAATAGTTCGAAACGAATCCTCATCCAACAGCTCGAATCTAAAGAACACGATCACGGTCAGCGCAACATGATAATTTTGTGACAGAGGCAACGCGTAGATAATCGGGGAAACACAAGTATGCGCCAAATAGTAGGAGGCGGGCGGATCGCTCGAGTCTCGCTCTAGATTCACTGGAGACTCACCGATTGTCAAAGAACTCATCCAACACCCTCAACGCGAAAAATCGAGCTTCGGGTTGGTACTTGCGCGTGCCCTCTGGATTTACATCAATGAACAGGCGCAGGGCAATCCTCCACGTAGTTCCAGCGTTTTGTTGAATTGTTCCGAGATAGTCCAAGGCCTGTTGGTGGAGGGCAGCTTGTGCCGGGTCCGATGCGATGGTGATTGCTTGCACAATCTGAGTAAGTTCTTGTTCCATCGTGAGCTTTCAAACTCAGATATTTTGGATGGCGTGGATTCGTGTAGGTTCGTAGGGGCCTGCGAAGCAGTGCCCCGTGAGTCGAAGTGAGATGGATGTGAGTCTGACGAAGTTGCTGATCGCGCTGTGTACCAAATCGGGAAAGGGAAGTTTTTGCCTTGTGATCGAAGTCGCGTGTAGCGGTCGCGTGCATGGAACATGGAATCCACAGGTCGGGCAAGGGCATGTATAGACTAGAATTGCAACATAAACAACTCTCCGAAATGGGTAGTAAGACAGACACGGCCTGTGGCCTCTTCTAAAGCTAGACACTGGACCCTGCGCAACTCAAAGGGCAGGGCTTTGTGCTTGGCCAGCAATGGCTCGACTACGACCCGTTGTGTATTATCCAGAGGTATGATTGCCTTCATCAAAGTGAACTCGTCTGTCCCCCATTGCTTCTCTAGCCACACAGCGCGAGTTCCTGTTTCACCTAAGCAAACCATCTCGGCCGAAGTGGCAGTGTGTGTCGGGAACGGATGGACCCAAGGATGCGTGCGTTTATCATGGAGGGATAGCCGGACGAGATCCGCACGCTGTCCAAAAGTACGGAAAAATAGTGTGGTGAGATGACCCGACCCATGAGTAGAATCAGCAGAAAGATGATAGTTTGCACGTGGCAGGATTGGAATCTGTTCTTCGACTTCAGGAGCCGGGAGCGGTACCACAAGCCTGTGTCTCCGGGCAATGAGCATAGTGTGATCCCGGACAGCGGTTAGTACAAGCTGTCCGGGGTACAGTTTGAAGTGCACTTGAGCTAGATCCTGGCAAACAGCGTAAGCAGGACCTGCAGCATGGGGATGAACACTCACATCCGTCAGAAGAGGATCTAGAGAGAATCGGGCCCCCGTAAGAGTGTCTATCGTCAGAATACGATATCCTGACGCACGATGCAGATCCTGCTTGATCTGCGGGATTCCGACAGCAACAGTATGCCCAAAGATGTGCACTTCGTAGAACGGGCCGTCAGCCTCTGGCCTCGAGATATCGCAGATGAGATCATGCGGTCGGTAAATTCCAAGTTCTGGGTCTGCCTCAAGTGCAACGGAATATACAACGAGTCGTGTGCTTCGAGCAGCAGCCAAAATCACAGCGATGGTAACGTGTGTGCAATGCTCTTGCATCGAAGCCGCAAATGTCAACGGCATCCCGTAGCCGGAAAGACCGATTGAAGCTTCGCGAGATGCCTGCTTGGTGCCGGCCATGCGCAAAACTGCCACTGCCGGCGGAGACCGCCTGAGGACCACGAGCCAGCCTGAACCTATGAACTGAATCTTCATGACATTGTCCATCTCCTCGAGACGAGCAATGCTCCGTATTTCGGGGTATGGCCGCCGCCAGTTATTGTCGACCCGCAACGCATGCGTGACCAGAGTCTTGAGCACCGGCCCGGTCAGCAGATTTCGATTCACGTAGGGCGGAATGACCAAGGGGAGTTGCTGCGCAGATGAAAGCTGGTGCCAGATATAATCGTTCATCGTGTATTCGTGTAGGCCACGACACGTCTGTCCGGAAACACGTTGGCAATCGCAAAGCTCAGATTCTATCAGGACGAAACAAGCGCACCTGGTTAAGCACCAATAGATCCTCCGCCGACAGCAAGATGAACACGTTAATGAGGACATCATGAGGTAGAGACAGAAGCGCAGCCATGAGGACTCAGGTATGGTGAAAGCAAGTGCATCTACTTATGTCGATGCTTGAAACTGACTTCGAATGTAAGACGAAATGAGCATGTTAGCCGGCCATCAGGCATCGATCATAGTAAGCGCCGGCCGGCTCCGATGGTATTAAAGCAGCCGAGACGGCTCCTTTCCACCATCCATTCACCTCTATCATGTCTGAATTGGACTTGTCCGACTCAGACTGGCTCGAAGTATCCAGCATCCACAGCTCTGACAACGATTCCCTTAGCGATAGCTCACGATGCAGCGAACGCGGCGGTCTTGCGTCGCTGCCACTGTCCCGTCGCTCGTCCATAAGTCTCGGGAGTTCTGCTGATGACCAGATCGATGCATGGGAGGGCTTTGTAGAGGAAGGAGGCACAGCCGATAGCCCAGGACCAAGCTCGGAGACACTACCCGTGACGGAGCTCATCCATGATGACCACGACCCCCTGGTTACCGCACTCGACCAGAGCCTCGTCGGCACTCTGAGTGCTTCACGATCCAGCTCCCTCGGTGCCTCTTCCACTGTTCAGAACTCCCTCCGTGATCTGAGGTTATCGTTTCCCGATCCTCTCACCAGTTCCCGCGATGAACTCCAGCGCTCGTACGAGACGGTGCCATCCCCCGATATCTGTATCACGGACGATGTTCCCAATTCGCCGATGACCACAGTACTCGGGAAGGATGTTGATTTCACTGCCGCCGGAGATGCCCGCGATTATCATGTCGCTCCCGATGTCCAAGTCATTTCCCTCAAGGAATACAATGTTGTGCTGTACGGCGCGCATGACTTCGGCACTTTCATTTCATGGCTTCTCTCCGTTATGGGTGTCCGCGAGGGTGCAGAGCGGTCGGTGGATAGCATCGCTTTCGACGTATGTTCACTTTCGGTCCTTTCTGTTCACTGATTTCATCGTGGCTTTCAGCCGAGTCCTAGCGTCGAAAGGCCTTCGATCGGTATCTTATCTCTCCATTCTTCATTCTCCCGCAGTCTTCCTTTGCATTCTCTCTATATTCCCGCTATATTTCCCGCCCAGAGCGACGAGGATCTTCTCGAGCTTCACTCGAAAGCCGTCACGCGTTGGGGATCTCTCAGCATCCCCGATTCACATATCCTCAGGCTCATAGACGCAGAGGGAGCTCAGATATTCGTCGATACCCCCATTTCTCGACAGTCTGTCCATTCTGCATCTGTCCAGCGCCAACTCGAGCAGATGGTGCGGTCACCTCCGAAGAAAGGACGGAAAGGGTTCGAACAATTGAAACCAGCGCACGGAGTGACATTGTATGGATCTCTATCGAGTTGAACATGCAAGATGACTGAGCTTCCGATTATAGCGTGGCTCTGCTCTCGTTAATCATGGGCTTTGCAGTCCATACGGCCTGGCGCACAGCCCATCCTCCGAGTCCAACATCGGTTGCGACCGCAGTCCTTCCTGTGCAACCCACGTCTACGAGCTACTACCTCCCGGTCGACTCGCAGCCCCACTCGTCCCTATCTCGAGCAGCTGCACCTATGATCACGACCGCGCTAGTGCCTTCGACTCTGAAGGAGTTTGCGCTGGCAGTCTTCAATCCTCCGATTCAATTTGCGTCCTTGTCTTCTAGCGCAGCTAGTTCAATGCCTAGCAAGTCGGCGACCATACGTCCTGTAGCGTCGAAGGGGGCTCAGTCCACCACCGACGTGATCTTGCGTCCTTCGACCTCGTTGGCCAAAGTTGTCAACTCTAAATCCGTCCAGACTTCTACGCCGCCCAGCTCTCCTCTTTTACTCGACGCGCCGCAGGTGGCAGCTTCTCTGAGCCTCAGAGTGGCCGGTTCCTTGTCCGAGATTGCGACTGCGGCGATGAAAGCTCTGGAGGAAATCGTCGGTCCCGAGTTCGGAGAGATTGTCTTGGCCATCGACGATCTCATGCGTGCTATCGGACGGCAGACTACTGCTATCGCACAGACTTCGAGGGCCCGGGCCCGGATGCTGCGCCATGTGCTCTCCCAGCGAAACGAACGGGCCAAAGGCAAAGCACGGCAGCTCAGTCAGACATTGGTTTCGACTGTCGGGATCGAGCTGAGGGCTCGAGCTGATCTGGCAAGGAGCAGAGCACATATGATCAAACACAATTTCGTGGAGTCTGGTCTCTGGCGTTCCTATATCCAGGCTCATGGAATGTGGTCTGACAAGCTCCATGTGAGCCAGCCGCGATCTGAGCGACGCCGAGGTCCTACTTTTGCTCGGCACCAGAGAGAAAGGCGCTGACCTCCATGTGATATGATCTCCGTTAGTACGATAGGTAGGTAGACAATGTATGTTATGTGTATGAAACTATGAATTGTATGGTCATATGGATATCGCACTGAATTAGGTTTATCCATGACTGGCACCGCCTCCGGGCTTAACGTGTGTCAGACCTAGTCCTTCGCCATCACAGTCATTCAGTGTCGAATCGTCCATTATAGATAGATTGGACGGTTTCACTCTCGATGATCAATTCAAGCACCCATGGCGCACGTCGCATACCCCTCCACGCCCAACTTCAAAAACTGCAAATCGAACTACGATCGGTCCAAAGCAGCAGCCAATGATTTGTCAGTAACGCCCGACTCAGAGTCTTCGACCGACTTGCTGCCAAAGCGACATCCATCGAGAGGGACATTCCTGGGGACTGTGAAGCTGCACGGAACGAACGCTACTATTGTGTTCTCCCACGGCAGCAAAACACCGCAGATTCAAGCACGCTCGTGGATCATACAAAGCACATCGAAGGACAACAGCGGGACGTTTGCCTTGCTGTCAAAAATCCCACTTTCTCAGCTGGTCGATCAGATTCTCGCTGTGCAAGGCTGTGGAAATGCGTTTGATGAGATCTATGTGTGCGGAGAGATCGCCGGGAGGGGTGTTCAGAGAGGGGTCGCTATCACCCAACTGGAGGTGCGTAGTGCTTTCCGTCTATAGTTTCGGCTTTGAGAACTCAAGTACGAAGCCATTCTTCGCTGTCTTCAACATCAGGATTGACGGCCATTGGATGGACATGCGAAAGGTACAATCCGTCTCCGACCGGGGCACAGTCTAGTAACAGAAACTGATAGTACAAGTCTTGCGCCCTCCCGGGCTACCGGCTGTACAATATCGCACAGTACAAGACTTTCGAGATCGACATCGATTTCGACTCGGAGGAATCCACGACAGAAGCCAACACCCTCATGAATGAGCTCACCGCAGAGGTCTGCGCCCAATGCCCGTTCGCAGGGGCGTTCGAGAAAGATGGACAGCAGATCGTCGGTGCCGGAGAAGGGATTGTTTGGACAATGGTGTCGAGCGGGACCGACGAGTTCGACGACACATTGCTTGTGAACTTCAAGACCAAGGGCGACCAGTTCAGCACTGTTTTGCGTCCTCCAAAGAACAAAAAGTCGCTTGGCCTCGAGCTTCCAGAAGCGTGTACGGAGTTTGCGGACTATGCCCTTGGAGAGCGACGAATGGAGCAGGGAATCGAATACCTAGAGGGCGAACAGGCCCGCCAAGGCCTCCCGATCGCTGGCATCGACATCAGACTGATTGGGCCGTTTATCAAGTGGGTCGTTGACGATGCGATCCGTGAGGAGAGAAATGAGATGGAAAGGCTATCGATCGAAGAGCGAGACGCGAAGAAGGTGCTTGGGGCCCGAGTGCGAGCCTGGTATATGCGCAAGTGCAACGAATGACTATTATCATGTGACCGTCTGTTGGAGCGCTCTTGAGTATTGAATTTCTTGCATACATTCGCGATCAGTAAAACATATTATGAAATGATTGAGCACTAGTGCTTAGATACGATTGTGCTAGTAAGCGACGGGCGGCCAATCAGGAAGAGATGTCAAGGCTGCGTTGGATGCTTCCCTGACCCTGGACTTGGAAGAGAGATCGCCGGACTTTCGGTAGTTGGCAAAGACCTCGTGCATCTGGAATGAGGACGCAGAGATAGAATCTGCGGTCGTTATGAATGGATGGACGGGCGAAGCTGTGCATCGCAACTCACCAGCATTGGACTCGGCTTCCTTGGCCATCTGAAGTTGGATTCAGTTCACGACTCGAGACCAACGCATTCACTGACCGCCTGCAGTCGAACAGCTTCGGACTGGTACTGATTTGCCAAAGCCGGACTCCATTTCATCTGTGCCTGTGCCTGCCCTTGGCATGTGCCCACATGGTCCAAGATCTCCGTCTTTCTCGCCCCCCAAGCATCCTTGAGCCCATCGAAGACCGCGAAAAGGTCCCGCCAAGCAGCGGGGTCCCAGATCTCTATTCGAGCTTTGTTCACCCGAACGAAATCGCGGGGGTGCAGCTGGCCAGTGGGTGACGTCGATGTCGTTGTCGGGGATTGCGCGCCCCCGGGAGTCATCGACGATCCAGGTGTACCCGCCTGAGTTTGCAGCTGTGCTGGCTGTTGCTGTGACTGCCCCGCCACTCCATCCCATCCCTGCCCCAGCGCGGAGTACGGATCAAACTGCGCAGCATAGCCAGGGCTCTGGAGCTGTGCCTGGGCCGGCGTGTACGCTGTCCCGGCGCTGGTGTTCTGCTGCTGCAGATATCCATAACTGCTTCCACTGATGTGAGGCTGTCCCGGAAGCTGTTGCCCGTATGAGCTCGTCGGCTGGAAGGGAATCGGCGATTGCATGCCCTGCCACTGCTGCTGCGGCGCATATCCCGGGCTGAACTGCTGGGCTTGTGGTTGGAACTGCTGATGGAATTGCGGTTGCTGCGGTTGCTGCGCCGTGAACTGCTGTTGCGAATACTGCGGTCCCATATTTCCTCCGGGCGACTGCATGCCAGGTTGAAGCCATTGGGTGAACTGTCCTGTGGGGTCCTGTCCAGGCGAAGGCTCAAGAGCAGGAAATCGTGATTGCGGATCAAGCTGGAAAGGATTGTTTGCGGCGTAGTTCATGTCGGGTATCTCGAAGACAAGAGACAAGAAGATGAGGGTTAGTGAGTGTATGTATGTATCCGAGTGCTGATTGCCTTGCTTGACAAGGCTTCTCCACCCCCATAATTCGCATCAAAATAGTGCCGGATTGATCCGTTTGTGACATACCAATTTTTTCCGATGTAACAATGTAATGACATGACATTTGACATTTCCTCTTGCGCGCTACAGTGTCACTCGCCTCTCTATTTGCCCCGCCTCTTCATTTAGCTTTCAGATTGTCTCGACGTATTTTGATTACTAAGAACAGGCTTCTCCTATAAGAATTGGTTTCTGGATTCCTTTACTGCTGTTTGTCCTCCATATTGCTCTTTGTCATTTGCTCCCACCACTTTTGGGGATTCAAATTGCGCCACATCCCTTTTGAGGTGACTGCCACTATGCAACAAGCTTTTGGGTAATTGCTGAAATATCTTGATGGCAGTTAACCTTGGAAGATCCATTGAGAGAAGGGTGTAAGAGCTTCGAGGGGTCACATTTCTTGTTTTTGATTGGGTTAATCAGCGCATGACCTGGAGGATTGGCTGGCTCATCAAACCGAAGGGCGCAACACTATTCGGGAAATGAGCAAGGAAGAAACGCACATTGTGCATGGGTTGCCCACGTACAATCAAGAGGGTGCACTGTGTTGTAATTTGACTATGTCATAACTCGACTCTTTTTCATCTTATCATTGGCGATCTTATCTTATCTTGGCACGACTTATCTTATCACGGATCACGGCATCAGACGGTCCGGGTTAGGGGTTCCAGGGGTTATCTCTATCGATTCGAGGCTGCGCGACATATGCTCCGGAAGGTTCTACTACAACCCATGACCAGTGCTCCATGCGGTACATAGCCCTATGACTCATTAGTTGTAGATATGACTCAGACTGGATTTGGGTATAAATACTGTAGCTACTTGGTTGTATTCTCCAGTCTTCGAATTCACTTCTCTTTTCGACTTTGTTTTTGGGTTGATTGTCACATAATTCGAAGACTCCCCTCATACCCTCATACCTCTTACCTCCTACCCTGCATCACTGCACCGCTACGCCCGCTATATCCTCTCCACCCTTATCACCCCACTTACCCTTTTACCGAATCATCTAGTCGTCCTCTGCGATCGCAGTGAAGGGTTCATATCGAGCAAACAGCACCAGGCCACGGGTAACGTTGAGCCCGACCCAAGCCTTACGGTAGCTACAAGGAGTGCTGCGGAGACCTTCGGGAAAACGCACCTCGGGATCATCGGGCACGTGAAGAGCTAGGCCCGGGATCCTTTTGCTAGCAAAAGAACCTTTCCTCGAGTGCTTGTACAGCACACGAATCCACCATTTCGTACCGATTCCCATCATCATCTGGGAGTCCATCCCCTCCCCCCATCATACCATCGTCGCCCGATCTGGCGCATCAAAACCAACCCGGACCCTCCAACCCCTACCTCGCCCTTCCGCCGCCTGAAGACGAGTTCCCCGACCTTGGCGAGTTACCCTCCGAACAACCACCCTCGCCCCCACCTACCGCACCTGCTCCTATCATGTCCGGACATCACCGCATCACCCTCGCCGCCAACCCCCCCTACTTCGATGGCGACAAGTCCAAGTACCTGGGCTTTGTGGACGCGTGCACCACTTACATCGGTGCCTATCGGTCAGAATTCTCACTGGACGAGACAAAAATCCTCTTCGTCCTGTCCTACCTCCGCAATGAGAGCGGCACAAGCTGCGCCGCCTCAAGATGGGCGATGAACTGGAAGCAGCACAATTTCGAGGGCTTCCAAGGACTAAAGGCGGGGGTCACCGCGACAAGCTTCTTGGAGGAGCTTCAGAGGGCCTTTGGGGATTCTAACGCAGAGCAAGTCGCTGCCGCCCGACTCATGGCCCTTCGCCAGGGCAGACGGTCCTTCGCGGACTACATCTCCGACTTTGAAATGCTGGCTGCAGACGCGGGGTACAACGTGGTCACCTCCACCGACAGCAAGGGCGAGTACAAGAAGGGGGAACAGGACAATATCCTCATCGAGTTCCTGGAGCGCGGACTCAGCAGTGAAATCGCAAGCCGCCTCTACAACACTGGTGTTCCCCTGCCCAAGGCATATGGTGCCTTCAAGAACTGGTGCGTCAACATCGAGGCCAATGCCTTGCGCGATCAGCTGCGTAAGGCCTCCTATGCGCACTCGACTCCACGGCCTCCTCCCCAATTCCGCCCTCAGGCAGCACCAGCGGCGCCCACGCCTGCTCCGACCCGACCGGCTGCCAACGAACCGGTCCCAATGGAAATCGATCGCACCCATGCCCGCGGCCGCAATATCATCTGCTACAACTGTCAGCAGCCTGGGCACATTGCGCGGAACTGCCCGGAACCAAGGAAGAAGCGCACATTCTTCAATCGGGCCACGATGC